TAATTCACAGCAACCTGCTTGGGAACAACCTCAGCACAGGGTGTCGTGACATCCCTGTGAGTGTCCTGCCCGGAGCCCTCCAGGGGGCTGTCACAGCTCCAAGGCAGGGTGGGTCAGATTTCTCTGCTACCTTTCCCGTCCCCTACAAAGGACTCACTTTGAAGCCCCAGGTGCTTCTGTGTGGAGGCCGGGCTCCTGGAGGGAGAAGTCGGCGTCACCCCTTGTGCCTGGCCCAGCTCTGACTTGGGAACAAAGCGCCCTGGGAGCTGGGAACCCTCCGCGTCCAAACTGGCTTTGAGCTTTGATCCCAAATCAGAGCCTTTCAAGGCATTTCACATTTGGCCAAACAGGGCTTCCCAGCTTCTTATTTTTCTCCTTTTCTTACATAAGGACGCAGACCTCAAAGGAGCCCCGGGCTCTGGCAGGTTCTCAGGAAATCACGCTGCCGCGTTTCCTATAATTGAGTCTGAAATTGATTAAACCTCCATCTCCCGCCGTGTGAGCGCTGAGTGGGAAGGGGAGAAATCACTCTGGGCTTTCTGAGTTTGGGGATGGGTCGGGTTTGAAAACAAAGAGCTGCAGCCCTGGCCGGTTTGGCTCAGCGGTTAGAGCGTCGGCCTGCGGTCCAGAGAGACCCGGGTTCGGTTCCCGCTCAGGGCACGTACCTCCGTTGCAGTTTGTCCCCGGCCCTGGTTGGTCGTGCGGGTGGCAGCCACTCGATGTGTCCCTTTCACATCGATGTTTCTCTCTCTCTCTCTTCCTCCCACTCTATCTAAACAAAAAATGGAAAAATGTCCTCAGGTGAGGATAAAAAAAAAAGAACTAAGAAAAGAAAAAGAAAACAAAGAGCTGCAGATGCTCAGCTTCTAAGGAGGTGGGGTCCCCTTGTCGCTGGGGGAAATGCGGGGCGGAGAGCCAAGCAAGCCCTTGAAAAGGTCAGCGTCCCGGAAGCCACTCCCCAAGTCTTTGCAAGTGAATCAAGAGGCATCCGCGGCTCCAGGAGTGATTTATCTCCCCCTTTGGGCTAAGAAAACACGCAAGCACAGCAAACTCCGCGAGCCCTGGGTCCAGGGTCACCACACCCCAGGACGCCTGTGGTCCCTGCTGCCTTTTGCATGGACACCAGACGCTGTCATGTCGAGAGCCAACCGAATACAGCAAAGTGACTCACCCACCCCGCCCTCCCCAGCTCCTTTAAAACCCCAGAGACCCTCGTTAGAACCCTTGGGTGGCCTCAGGGGACGGGACCACCTCACCACAGAAGACCTGGAGGACTTCCCAGGGGGATTCGGCCAAGCCCCACCTGGGCAGGGGTGGGGTTTCAGATACGACTATTTACATCTGTGAGCTGGGGGCGGAGACCTTGTGTTAATGGTTTGCCTCTGAATTCTCTGCACACCTTGTGAAATGCTCAGCCTACGACATGAACATAAAAAGTTTCCTGAATGACTGAAAGGGTCTCCCAGGCATCTAGTCGAAAGAGCACACGCCGATCTTGGTTTCTCTTCAAACTCAACTCTCTCGAAGTGTCTGGCCCTTTCTAGACTGGAGCCCGTCTCCCCCCTTCAGATCTCTGGAAAGGACTTTGGTTAAAGGACCTCGGCCTCTAACTTAGCAGCTGAGCAAACAGAGGAATCTTTACGTGGGGGAGAGACCCCAGGTCCAAGTTTTGTCCTGACCCGTCTGTCCTCCTGGCCCTTGCTACCGCCGCGAAGGGGCAGTCACCTGACCTCTGCCAGCGTTAACCTGACTCCAGGACTCCTGTCACCAAACACCCAGCACCCATCTGAAAACCCAACGTGAAGAGAGTGCTCTGGACACCTGAGCTTGGAGACAGTCCTTCCCCGTGTGGAGAAAGAGCCCCTTTTCCTGCAGCCCTGGCGACCCGATGGCTTCTGAGTAGTTGGCGTCTCTCCTGAACGCCCCGTGAATGTGTGCGGCCTCCCTGTTACTGTTGGGGACATGGGTGGTCCAGTCCCTTACTTTTATGCCCCTCCTATCCCTCCAGATCCCTGCCCTTCAAACCACTGGGCCGACACCCTTCACACACGCCTACGATGTACCGAACACTCACTACACCTGTTACATTAGTCCACGCTGGACCCTCGCGGCCCACGAGGTGAGGACGACCATCTCCCCATTTCTGCTGAGACGTGGAGGCTGATGGAAGCTCAGGGACAGAAGGGTTAAGTGGGAGATGCAGGACGGGAACCCGGCCAATCTGGTATCAGTCTGCATCCTCCATCAATACAGCACATCGTCCTGTCCACAGCCGGTCATTTCAGGGGTCAGAGTCCCCTATCATCCCTGAGAGCCCCCGCCAGCACCGTGATTCCACAGCGTGGCACCGTCAGCTCACTGATGCTCACAAGAAAAATCAAACTGTGCCAAGAGAGACAGAAGAGTGAGGGACACCGGTGTGGGCGATGCAGTGAAGGGGGAGAGCCCCTCGGAACAGGCCATCCACGGTGCACACCCCACGACAACAGAGCACAAGTGAGACACGTGCGATCCAAGTGACAGCTGAACAGAACCCAGCCCCAAGGTGCCTCTGGGTAAGTTTTTCTGGAACCCTTACCTCTTGTTTTAACCCACCACGTACTTTAACTCAGTTTCTATCAAGTCTTTTAAAAATATATTGTTATTAATTTTTAGAGAGAGAAGAAGGGAGAGGGAGAGAAACATCGATGTGAGAGAGAAACCTCAATCGGCTGCCTCCTGCACGCGCTCCCCCCCACCCCCACCCCACCGGGGATGGAGCCTGCGTGTGCCCTGACTGGGGATCGAACTGGCAACCCTTCAGGGTGCAGGACGGTGCCCAACAATCTGAGCCACACCAGCCACACCAGAATCATGGCTTTGGTGTCTTTAGCCAGCAGAGCCATCTAAGGTCTCACAAATGAATCCCATCAGATAATTTAAAGGGACATCCATTAAAAACAAAGATGTAAAGATTTTGTTTTTGTTTTTAACCTGAGATAAAGAGGCGTTAGCGGCTGCCCTGGCACAGGCGGGTGTCACCTGCGCTCCCAGCATCCGCCCTGGGCCGCAGCGCAGGCTGAAGGGAAGGGACGCGTGTTGAACCAGGAGACTTGATTCCGATCAGGGGCCAGTCACAGCTCCCTCTTCATAACCTTAGCTGTTGTCCCTTGAAATTCGATTTTTTTTTATACCTCTTCACATCACCTTCTGAGGCTCCGTAAAAACTGTTTTCAAAATCCCAAAAGGAGGCTTATCAGAACAGGACCGCTTGAAAGGCATTTAAGCCCAATTTGATAAGATTTTAAAGTTGGCATTTCGAATTGCTATAATCATAACAGTAATCCCTTCACCAACGGCAAACCCCCAGGGACCAACGCCCCTTTCTTCAAGGTCCCCGCTCACCACAGCTGGCCAGCGGGGTCCAGACAGCAGAAAAGTGGTTCCCATGGCAACACAGGGGCTGCCCTTATTCCCTGGATGAGGGTTGCCAGATTTCTCAAATTAAAACATAGGCCAGCCCTGGCCAGCGTGGCTCAGAGGTTGGAGCGTTGGCCTTTGCGCCGAGGGGTCTCAGGTTTGATTCCCGGTCAAGGGCAGGTACCTGGGTTGCAGGTTCAATTCCAGGCCCTGTGGGGGGGGGGGGGTGCAGGAGGCAACCAATGATTGTGTCTCTCTCACATCAATGTTTCTCTCTCCATCTCTATCTCTTCCCCTCCCTTCTCCTCTCTAAAAATCAATGGAGAAAATATCCTCCGGTGAGGATTAACAACAACAACAAAAACAGAGGCCACTCGGTTATATTTGCATTTCAGATCAACAAAGAATAATTGTTGGCCATAGGTAAGTCCCATGCAATATTTAGAACATGTTCATATACAAAAATTGTTGTTTATCTGAAATCTAGATTTAACTGGCGTCCTGTGTTTTATCTGGCATTTCTTCTGTGGGTTCTGACCCCCTGGGGGGCTCAGGGTGGGTGAGAAGTAGGGGTGAGCAGGGCTGCACTTACCAGCCCAGGAGAATGGCCAAGCTGATGGCCAGGCTGGGCATTCTGGCTCCTCGGAGCACCAGGCTCCCCTCCCCCACTCCTCACCGAGCCGGTGCCATGAGTCCAGTCAACACCTCTCCAAGTCCCACTGTCTCCTGATTCCTCTGGGCAACCCTCCCAGCACCCTCCGACGCGGACCTCTTCCCACCAGAGGCGGACACGGTGGGACTCGTCTGTTTCCACTTTCTAGTGTCTTGTTTTGTTTCCCAAGAAAGATTGCAAATAGGCTTGGAGGTTTCCTTTCATTTCTCCCTTTCCCCATCCAGACCCTCTCCCACCTACTGTATTCAATAGACGCCAAGAAACAAATGGGTGTTTGTTCTCTTCAGTCATAGATTCAATACCTGAATCAAAGCGAGGGCTGAGCCAGCACGTCCGGCTTGCCTGCGGGACATTGTGAAGGACCCGCACCCACAGACACGGGCCTGCCTGTCCCCGCGCTACTTCACACTAGCGAGGAGTGATGATCTCCGAACCACAGTCCACAATCACACCTACTTCACAAACACGAGGCTTCCGCCTGTGTGCGTGTTGGCAAAGGACTCACAGTGAAGCGATAAAATGCATGGAAATAGGAGGAAACATTGACAAAGTGATAAAACGAGGGGTGAGATTAATGATGCCCTAATCCAATCTGTTTTCATTTGGTGCAGAGAAAATTAATTTTTGAAGACATTTCATTTAACTTTGCAATATTTTGCAGTTGAGCCTCCGCTGCTGGAATCGTCTCTCTTCTCCTTCACGCCTAAGGATGGGGAAGCGGGGTTTGTGTCTGGTTGTCAGGATGGCTTCACGGCGGATGACCGGATGACGGGCTTGCTGCCTCCCCTCCCACTCGGGATGGGGGCAAGCAGTGTGTCTTCAACGGACACCAGGTATCGCTGACTATAATCCTCAGCTCTTCACCTCCTACTGAAACATCCACTTTAATCAGCCACAATTCAACTTCCAAAAGAATAAGAGGTGTTACCTTCCAGAGCAAGGCACCGGGGTGGGCTGGACGACCAGATCAGGCTGTGCAAGCACTCGAGGTACCCCGAGCCCTCGAGTTTAAACCCAGGAAAGCAATGGTAGGAGATGACCGTGCCCACCGGGAAGGAGGTCTGGAACTCGGAGATGTTCACGTAGCCGTTGGAAGAGGCCAGTGGTCTCAGGCAGCCTGTGACGAGTGAACGCAAAAGGGACAGTCTCACTCGGCTGTCTTTGTGCACCTAGAGAGAAACGCAGCTCCGGACCTCTCTCGGGGACCCCACTCTACACGTGGCCTCTGAGTAATGAACACCGGGGTCCTGAGTGTTCAGACTCCTGATCTACTTACCTGTCCCGTCCGTCACGTGCACATTTGATGTTATAGTTGCAAATGGCGCTAGAGAATCGGAGGAGGAGGGGGGAGTGAGGGGGGATCCAGATGCCCCCGCAGGGGTGCCAGCCAGATGCGCATTAGCGTTGCCTGGGGACGCTAACGTCCTTCCCTGGACCCCGGGTCGGTGGACAGCCTGGGCACCCCGATCTCTTTATTTATTTATTTTTCATCCTCACCTGAGGATATTTCTGCATTTAACTTCAGATAGAGCAGAAGGGAGAGAGGGAGAGAGAGAGAGAAACATCAATATGAGAGAGACACATCGAGTGGCTGCCACGCACACGACCCCAACCAGGGCCAGGGACGAACTGCAACCGAGGTACGTGGCCTTAGCGGGAACTGAACCCGGGTCTCCCTGGTCCACAGGCTGACGCTCTAACCGCTGAGCCAAACCGGCCAGGGCCACCCCCATCTCTTTAAAGGTCCCCAAGTCATTGTAATGTGCCGTCAGGGTTGATAACCACTGAGGTGCCACAGAGGAAAAAGACACCCCACGGTTTCAACGACAGTGGTGGGGTCTTGAGGAGGCTGGCACACGGAGTCTGTTCCCCTGTCGCAGAATATGGAACAGACGCCCGAGAGGGACGATGAGATGAAATGAAACGTTCGAGAATTCAGGGGTGTTTCCCGTGAACCAGGTAAGGCGCCCTGTGCTGCGGTGGTTCTCACCCCTGACAGTGACCCAGAGAGAGGGCCTGTGAGAACACAGGGCTTCGGTTCAGTGGGTCTGCGCGGGCCCAAGGGCTCGCCTCTCGCAGGTTCCCAGGCGGTGGCGCCACGGCCACCAGAGGTCTGGGGACCAGGCTCCGAGGAGCCCCGGCGGTGACACCGCGCGGCGTGAAAGCCCGTGTGTTCTCCGCGTGGAGGCTGGACCCGGCTGCCACACTGCTGCCTTTGCCAGACACCAGCTGCCTTTTTGTGCCGAAGCCTGTACAGCCCAGGGGAGGGTTCCCACCAACACGGAACCCCCTTTGCTGCGGTGTCTCCGTGCCCACGGAACGTCTTATTGGCTTCAGCAGCTTCACTGGAGGGGATAATGACCCCGCAGGGCCGGCGCTCTTCCCGGGGAGAACTAATTGTGTGTGAAGTAAATAATGTGTGATGGAAACCCCGAGTTTCCCTTCCAATCACCAGGGACAGATTCCAGTTCAAGGCCCCCGTATAAAATGACAGGTACCGACGCATACTCTCGTTCTCAGCCACCCCCCTCGGTGAGCTGCCTGTGACCCGCAGGGGGCAGGAGGCGCCCCGACGCCGCTCTCCACCACACAGGGTTCCCACAGACGACACTGGCCTGGGGACAGCCCCCCCCCCGCCCCGAAAGGAGATGGAGGGTTCTACTCGTGCAGCTGATCAGAGAAGGGAAGAGGTGCTCACTCCCGTTGGAGACAGACAGCCTGCTCTAAATATAACCGCAGAAAACTGGCTTCCACTCAATAGCTGGAGCTGATTTCTATTTGCACATGGAGAGAACAGAGAGCAGGCTCCCCGCGCCTTCGCTCCTGGATCTATAGGAGCAAATAGAAGTTACAGCACGAAATGTCACGCGCAGGGCCAATTATATTCCCCTGGGGGCCCGAGAGGTGTCAGGCTGTCGAAGGCGACCGGATCCTCACTGCCGGTGCTGGGCCCGGGCGGTGGGCAGCCTAGTGAGGCACGGGGGTGCGGGGAGAACAGGGCACAGAGGGCTCGGAGGAGAAAGGAAGGGCCCGGGGGTCACGCTGTTGGTCACAGAAACATGCCTCTCAAGAGCTGCAGGTCAGCTCTTTTGAATACGTTCAAGGACTCTAAAAGCCGTTTGGGCTGAGACTTGAGTCAGGGGTGGTGGGGGAGGGACAGAAGTGGCCGGGCAAGCAGGGGAGGCCTGTGCCTGAACGCCTGAAAATGACACCCCAAGATGTATGCCACCACAGGGTAAGTTTGAAAAGACATCATTGGGCCCTGGCCAGTTTTCTCAGCGGTTAGAGCGTCGCCCCGTGGCCCAGTGAGTCCTGGGTTTGATTCTGGCCAAGGGCACGTACCTCAGTTGCAGTTCGTCCCCGGCCCTGGTTGGGGTCATGCGGGAGACAGCCACTCGATGTGTCCCTTTCACGTCGATGTTTCTCTCTCTCTTCCTCTCTCTCCTTCCTACTCTATCTGAACTAAAATGGAGGAATGTCCTTGATGAGGATAAAAAAATAATAATAAAAGACATCATTGGGGCAAAAAGGATATTGTAGGTAAGGGACAGAAAAGGAAATAGAAAGAGCAGGAGAGAAGGAGAAGTAGAAAATGTCATCGCAAGAAGTGGCTGGAGTCTGAGGTCATGACTCCGAGAGAGTCACGACTTCTTTGCCGTGACTTCGAGAGGCCCATGGGACTGGAATGAATTAGTGGTTAATAAAGTTCATTCGAATAAACAGCCCAACCTAAGAGCAAGCTGCTGATTTTGAGGATTGTCTCTGAAAGTGTAGGTGAATCACGCATCTCCTTGGAAAATGTAATATATAACGTGCTAGCCCTGGCCGGTGTGGCTTAGGGCTCGAGGGTCCAATTCCCCGCCAAGGGCATGTACTTGGGTTGCAGGTTCGATCCTCAGCCCCGGTTGGGGCACGTGGGGGAGGAGAGCAATCGATGTGTCTCTCTCACCTGGATGTTTCTCTTTCTCTCTCTCTCCGTTCCTCCCTGCCTTCCACTCTCTCTAAAAATATCGTCAGGTGAGGATTAACAAATAAATAAATACACAACTTGCTAAACACAACAGGAAGGTTCAGGGAAGGAATGCAGGAGTGTGGTGGTCGGGGCTGCTCGACTTTTTTGTTTTTTTATCCTCACCCGAGAACATTTTTGCATTTATCGTCAGATAGAGCAGGAGAAAGAGAGGGAGGACGAGAGAGAGAGAGATTGATGTGAGAGAGACACATCAACTGACTGCCACCCACACGACCCCAACCGGGGCTGGGGACAAAGTGCAACTGAGGTACGTGCCCATAGTGGGAACCGAACCCAGGACTCTCTGGTCCGCGGGCCGACGCTCTAACTGCTGAGCCAAACTGGCCAGGACAGGGCTGCCATTCTTTATCTGAAGACTTTGCTTTTCCCAGGGGATATGACTCTTTTTTTTTTAAATTTTTTTTCCCTAAAACCTTTATTGATTTGAGAGAGGGAGAGAGAGATAGAAACATCAATGAGAGAGAACATCGACTGGCCGCCTCCTGCATGCCCCCCACTGGGGATCGGGCCCACAACCTGGGCATGTGTCCTGACCGGGAATCGAACTGGTGACCTCTTGGTGCGTGGGTTGATGCTCAACCACTGAACCACCCTGGTTGGACAGGACGTGACTCTTAAACTCTCACGTAAGGAAGTGATTTATGTCTAACTATGGGGCACGCAAAGTGATATCAGAGTCTGCGGGTTATGATTGGCCAGCACATTCGTCTCAACTTGAACATGCTGGTGGCTTTCATGCAAATAAGCTTGCTCTCTCTCCCTCGGATTTCAAATTATAAATGGGGCTCCCTGGTCCTTTGGTCCATGTCACGTGTCAAAAAATACAATCAGAATTAATGTGAACTCGAGGGCTTAGTTTCACAAACAGGGCCCTGTATGTCAGCCCAGACTAATTTTTTTTTTTTTAAATGAAAGAGGATAAATATTCACTGTGAGATCTGGATGAAATCTGAATTTGATTCTTTTCCTGTCCCTCGTGCATTATAAAAAGGGATGCCATTATTAAGAGAAAACAGCCGCTGTTAGGATTGGCTTGAAATATATTCTCACCACTATTGAAATAAGTACAAATGTGTTGTTATTTCCGTTAAGTACACAGTAGTTCATCACTGTGGTCACAGCCCAGTTATGAGTCTCCTAATTCTTACCCTACTTGTGGTTTCTCAGGAAAGGAGACATCCAACATGCTAAAGAATAAGGTCGTTCCCATTTATACGTTCAGACTGGGTTACGGAGCTCGAGAAACCACCGGAAGGGATGTGAGAACCGTGCTGGGTGACCACAGGAAGGAGCAGCTGGGCCCGTGGGCGGCGTGGGGGGCTTTGTTTCCCGTCTATTAGAGCCATGTGCACACACTCCATGACACAGCCTGCGAGAAAAACAGTGGGAACGACAGCTTCCGTCTCGTACCTTGACAGATGGGCAGATTGTCCCACGTCCCGTCGTCGCGACATAACGAAGCCAAGTTGTACAGGTCGGGGTAACGGATCTTGAACCCTTCGTGACAAGTGATGATGAGCTTATCTCCGTGTCTGTAGGTCTTGTTATGAATCTCAGCATCTTCGATCTGCGGGATACGGCAATCTGCAGTGGTGGGAAGAGGACACATTCTTTTTGGAGTCTGAATCAGACCTGCACAGCAATCTGATAAATGGGTCCTTATTTCTCACTAGCCCAGGTCCCCACCGCAAGCCCCAGAGGCTCTCAGGAAAGACGGGACCGGTGGGTGGGGAACCGGTCATGAAAGGAACTTTGTGTCCTGCCGGTGACACTTCACACTGTGCAACTGAGCTGATGGACCATTTTGTAAACACATGAATAAAGAACAGAGTTGGGGATCCACCTGAACTATCCATCCAGTTCCACACTTTGCACGAAGCGCATGCCCCTGTCTGGCTAGTCCCACCCAGTCACTGCCCCTGCTGAGGCCTGGGCCTGATATGAAAGGTACTTAGCAGAACAGCAAGTGGTCGCATCAGCTATTAGCATCTCCATCCGCCTTATCTGTAGTGGAGGAGAGAATAAATAGAGCAGCACACCACCAGCTCACGCTGAGAGCAAGCAGCCTACTGCCGCCTAAAAATGGAGGAGAGAGCCCTGGCTGGTTTGGCTCAGCGGTTAGAGCGTCGGCCCACGGACCAGAGAGTCCCGGGTTCGGTTCTCGCTAAATGAACAGGCCTCCGTTGCAGTTCGTCCCCGGCCCCGGTTGGGGTCGTGTGGGTGGCAGCCAGTCGATGTGTCTCTCTCACATCGATGTTTCTCTCTCTCTCTTCCGTCCTGTCTCCCTCCTGCTCTATCTGAAGACAAAGGCAAAAAATGTCCTTGGATGAGGATAAACAAGAAAAAACAAGGCGTGAGAGCAAGAGCAGGATGCTGTGGGCCAGGAGCAGAGGCCAGGGGCCAGGAGGAGGGCAGGGGAGGAACAGGGGCCCAGGCAACGAAAGGATCAGAAGATAAAATAAAATGAATCAATGACAACTATCCACTTCTAACTCTCTCTACACCCCGTTGGCCATCCAGGCCCCTCCATTCTGTGCTGCCAGGTTGGGACCCTGCTCCCTCTGCCCCCTCCCACCCCGAACACCATCCAACCCATCCAGCTGAGGCACATGGGTCCCCGTGCGTCCCTCTGTCTCTCATCGGCACGTCTCTATTTAATATCGCTCATTTCCTGTGCCTGTGTGCTTGCAAGCGGGAGCTAGTTATTTCTACTTTCAGAGTCAGGCCCTGACTTACGGAGGAGTTCTAGTCCGAGTTGCCGCTTCTAAATTTTTTTTTGAAACGAGACAAAATCCAAGGACGCGACTTTGACAGTCAAAGAAACTTCCTCCAGAAATGTCTCAGTTCTCTAAAAGGGTGTAGGTTCCTCGGCCACTCCCCAAAGCCTGTAGAATCCACAATGTGGTCAGAATAGTATCGTGACCTTCCAGGTCCTCCAAGCTTTGAAGTGTCAGCTCGGAGGCGCCGGGCTCTGGGAACCCTGATGCAGAGGGAGGGGACAGGAAGGCGCAGGAGCCGGCTGGCGGATGGCTCCGGTGCCCGGGAACCTGGCTGGCTTACAAAGGGCACGTCCCAGGAGCCTCAGCGTGGGGTTGGGTGGGTGTACGGGAGCAGTGGGAAATCTGACAGCGGGCTCCAGAAACCAGAACATCAGTGATGGGAAGGCCTGGGGCGGAAGGGGACCTCCCGGGCAGAGGGGGACCCTGACAGCTGGGGGCCAGGGGCGGTGGCCATTGTCTCACGTGGGTCCTCCGAAGTCAGGTGCTGGCCAGCCCAGGTCCGCCTTTATCCCAGCCCTCAGTACTCCAGTTAGCTGGAGAACAGACAGTCACCTTCTTCCTCTGACACCCCCAAGGCTTCAGACCTTTGTACACACCAGACACAGAAGAAATGCTGAGGGCAGCCGTGTGGACCTCTGCCCGAGACATTGCGAGCACCGGCCCTGCAAGAGTCTGATTAACAGGCTTTGGGGCAGCTCCGGCGGCTACACCTTCCCTTGCAGCCATCAGCAGTCTGTCCTCTGCCCCAGGTTACAGCAGAGACAGTCTTGGCTGGAGAATGGGGTTCTGTTCCAGTTGTACCCCTCATGCGTGCGTTTCAGGCTGTGGAAAGGCGCTTCCTAACTGTTCATGTTCAACCGATCGTTTTTCTACGAGGCTCGCTGGATTGCCCCCAAGTCAATCCCAGAATACTCCTGCCTGGAGTCACAAGGTAACGGACATCTCTGCGTGCACGCCCCCACGGCCTTCTTAATGGAAAAGGTGGGTTCCATTGTCTTCACTGGCACTGTGCAGAAACTATTCACAGCAAATAAAAACACATTTATCAAGGCATCCGTCTGGAAAATCCTGGCTGTAAAATGATCCTATGGTAGTAATTTACATGACTGAACAACCATCTCTCATGATTGATTTAAAACGTATTCAAGAATTAACCAGGATTCGCAGGAGGTGGCCAGCTCGAGGGAGTAAATTCAACGGAGAGAAATGTTCCTCTGGACCCTGGGGACGTGTAGAGAGTGGCTGACCAGAAGAGAGCTCCCGAGTCTGCTTTGCAGGGACGGTCCTCTGCACAGTGGTCTATAATTTTGAATGCTTGGAGCTTGTAATTAGAACTCTTTCCATAAACAGGAGTTGGGGACAACTACAGAGCATCTGATATAAGACTCAAAGGGAATTCACAGCCTCCCAAATCCCAGTAATTATGCACTCTGATAAAGAAGAGAACAGTTCCCATAGCAAATGACACAGGACCAATTTCCTACGTAAGAGAAGCCACATATCAATCGGAAACTCAGAAGATGGAATTCAAACTCCACCAAGGCAGAGAGGCCATGAGGGAATGTGCCCTGGGTGTCAGGACAAAACTGAAACAGACCAGCTCGAACAAAGCCTAGAACTAAACTGTGACAGTCTTGTTACCCACAGTGTGAGTCGTCTAATCCTCCCAGCGAAACAGGAAGAAGTTGTCAGCAGCAGTAAACAACTATGGAGCTTATTTCTTTTGTTTTCTTTCTTTCTTTATTTTTTATTAATTTATTTTTGTTACAGATGTTTCTCCTTTTTCCCCATTGACACCCTCCTCCCCATCCCCCCACCCCGTCACCGGCTTTGTTGTCCATGTCCATCGGTTATGCATACATGTGTATAAGTTCTGTGGTTTATCTCTTCCCTCCCCCCCCACCCCCTCTTCTGAGGGTTGTCAGTCTGTACCCTACTTCCACATCTCTGGGTCTACCCTGTTCCTCAGACTGTTATGTTCATTATATTCCACAAATAAGTGAGTCATATGATATTTGTCTTTCTCTATTTGGCTTGTTTCATTTAGAATAATACTCTCCAGGTCCCTTTTGTTTTTTTTATTTATTTTTTATTTATTGCTTAATTCTTCTATTCTATTGTATAAAAACATCGATAAGAAGGGAACATCGATTGGCTGCCTCCCGCACACCGCCCAGTGGAGATTTGGCCCACAACCTGGGCATGTGCCCTGACTGGGAATCGAACCAGCGACCTCTTGGTGCATGGGTCAACACTCAACTGCTGAGCCACACCGGCCAACCTATGGACCTTATTTCAATACACAGAAAGAAACCAGAAGCTTCAGTGTCTGAAAATAAATGTGCAATCTTCATCAACTCTAAAGCATCAACTAGAAATAACACGATTTTCTATAGCAAATTCATCTGGTCGCCAGGAAGAATTTTTAAAAGCCACTTTAAAAAGTATTGTTACAAAGGACGATGAAAAAAAAAAGGTCTATTAATATCTGATTCTGTCACAGAATCTGGTTGACAATCAAAACTTATGCAGATAGGGCACAAATGGGCACTTTGGGGGTATAACTTTTACCAGCCTACTACCATCATTATTTTTTGTATTCTGCTTCTGGTAACAATAAGTTATTTAATCAAACAAACAAACAAACAAACAAACAAACAAATAAATAGCAGTAAAAGGTCCTAAGGCAGTATTGCACATTCATATTTAAGCACAAATTAATTGATCAAGTTAGTTAGCAAATACAGCGTCCTAAAAGATGAAGCAGAAACAAAAAGAGAAATTTTAAAGACTACGTGCTTTTCTTTTAAATGTTAGCTGTACGTGAAGATAAATCTGATTCCTTAAAAATGCGAACTTTTGACATCAATCTTCCCCAAAGAGTGTTTCCAGGAACTTGACCACATGACACCCACTCGGAGGCCCACAGTTCATATTAGCATATTCAAGACTCTGAAAGCCTTGCTGAGAAGAATGGAATTTTGTTCGAGTCAGTATTTGTAAAGCTTATTATTTTTCCATCCATTGGGTCATCATTCATTAATTCAGGGAATTTCTGGATCTGATATGTTCTAGGCGCTGGGGATAGAGAAAAAGTCAAGAATCTTACTCTTTATCACATAAGGCAAAGGTAAAATAAATGTAAAATCATAGCACGTTTAGGAATGCATAATTCTGGGCTAGGTGATTACCACGGGGGGTGGTCACCACACTCAGGAGAGAGGTCCCCTCCGAGAGAGAGGGAAGAGGCGGTGGGCATCTGGGATGCCATCAATGTTCAGACCATCACCTGGATCGGGGTGACATCAGTGTATGCTTTGTGATAATTCATTGGATTGTTTGGTTTTGTGTACTTCTTTACATATGTTATAGTTTATGGATTAAAAAAAATTTTTTTTCTTTATTGATTTTAGAGAGAAAGTAAGGAAGAGTGGGAGAGAGACAGACACATCGATGAGAGAGAATATCAACTGGCCGCCTCCTGCACGCCCCCCACTGGGGATCGGGCCCACAACCTGGGCATGTGCCCTGACGAGGAATCGAACTGGTGACCTCTTGGTGCATTAATGGATTAATGTTCAACCGCTGAGCCACACCAGCCGGGAGTTTATGGATGTTTAAAAGGTTAAAACAACAATAATAAAATTATCCAGAAAGAAGCATAAGGAAACTCCCTGGAAGGGAAGTGATCTTTCCCAACCAAACGGGGAGCCTCTGGGCCTGGTAAGTAGAGAGTGCATCACAGAATTTGGGGAAATGAATGTCTAAAACATATTGGCAATTAACTGTCCAAAAGCATAAACC